CTGCTGTCCTTTTCTCTCAGAACCCCACAACCCTTATTTGTTGTGCCCTCTGCACGTGGGTGTCCTCAATGAGGCATGCATTTGATCAGAGGTGGTGATGTCCTCTCACAAAGAGAGGAATATCCACATGTTGGTCACAGAAGGTAGGCACATTCAGTAATGCTGGAAGGAATGGTGTATCACTGCTTTTTAGTGATGTATCTGTGAAGTTTGTACACATACGGAGCTATGTCAGTAGTGAGAGGAATCTTTAATTTTTTATTTTATTACAATTATTTTATTATAATTTTTTTTTGTTAAGTGGGGCTCTCTTGAAATACCTCTATGAAAGATTCTTTTGAAGAATTCTGAACGGCATCAGTTAATGTTTAGATCATATTAGAAAAAGGGCAGCAGCATTAGCCTTTCTATTTCCTTTTACTGCTGACCGTATTCTTGCGTGTCTGCTCCAGCACTAAGCTTTCCTTGTGAAACCAAAGGGGGTTTCTGGCATTAGGCATGTGTAGAAATAATTCTAGACTAGTCTGTGTTCTGTTGCAAATTCTCTGTACCTTGTTTCTCCACATTTGTCAGCTTATTCCAGTGAAACAGGAGAACTGCATTGTCAGTTACCAGTCTTTGCTGTAGAAAGATGGCCAGCAGATAGTGTTTATCTCACCTGTTCACATTGTATAGGGTGCTTCTCTCTTGAGCACAGAGATAAGGTTAAAGCTAAGTGCAGGTTTGTGAGGCATCAAGCACCAAAAATACAGTTTCTGACAGAATAACATGCTTTGGCAAAAGGTTGCCTTGTAGCTTAGAAGGTATTAAAAAAAAATCAACTTTTTCTAGTCTCCCTACCTTCACTAGTTTGTAAACTAATGCAGTTGTGAAAACTCCATTTGATATCCAATACAATTAGGTATTGAGAGATTTTGTCTTAGATTTGTGAAGTGAGCAAAATGCCTCTGGTTTGTCACCTAGTGTTTAAGAAATGCCTAATAATTAAGACAGCTTTTTGTGCAATGCATGGTATCCATAACATTTCTCATTACTGACTTTGCAAAGTTGGAAGTTGTTTACTAGGATAAATGCTAGTCAGTTTTTGCATTGGAAGTTGACTTAATTATATTAGCTGGCAAAACAAACTTTATAATCCTTTTAAATCATGGAAGGGAATGAATTTTTTCATTTGATTTCAGTCTTTTGAGCTGGAGCATTCTTGTAGGAGTAAGAAGATTTCTGTCATGAAATCATCCAAGAATGTAACAGGCTATTTGTTCAGTAACACAGACTCAGAGCATGGCTGGTGTTGGAAGGTATCTCTGGAGAGCATCTGGTCCAACCCCCCTGCTCAGGCAGGGCCACCTAGAGCTGATTGCCCAGGACTCTGCCCAGATGGCTTCTGAGTATCTCCAGGGCTGGAGACTCCATCACCTCCCTGGGTTGCCCAGGTGCTCGGTCACCCCCACAGTGAAAAAGTGTTCCCTGATGTTCTGAGGAAACACCCGTGTTTCAGTCTGTGCCCGTTGCCCCGGGCCTGCCGCTGGGCACCACTGAGAAGAGCCTGGCTCTGTCCTCTCTGCACCTTCCCTTCAGGCATTTACATACACTGATGAGATCCCCCCCTTGAACCTTCTGTTCTCCAGGCTGAACGGTCCCAGCTCTCCCAGCCTTCCCTCACATATGGTGTGCTCCACTCCGTTCACCATCTTTATGGCCATTGGTTGGACTTTCTCCAGTATGTCCATGTCTCTTCTATACTGGTGAAACCAGAACTGGACACAAGTGTCCCAGGTGTGGCCTCACCAGTGCTGAGTAGAGGGGAGGGATCACCTCCCTTGACCTGCTGGCAATGCTTTGCCTAATGCAGCCCAGGCAGGGGCGCATCACTGGTTCATACTCAACTTGGTGTCCACTAGGGCCTTTTCTGGCAAGCTGCTTTCCAGCTGGGGAGCCCCCAGCACATACTGGTGCATGGGGTTGTTCTTCCCCAGGTGCAAGACTGGGCACTTCCCCTTGAACTTCATGAGGTTCCTGTTAGCCCATGTCTCCGGGCTGTTGGGGTACCTCTGGATGGCATCCAAGGAGATGGTGAAAAATAATTTCTGTTGTTGTTGACATATCTGAAATAATTTTTTCCAGTGGTTTTTCTTGACGTGCTTTCTGAATTGCAGTAGAACTTTATGTTTGAAGGAGGTGATTTTATTTAGATATGTTAATACTATTTAAATGGTCCATTATGGGAAAAAATTCTGGGCGGAAGAAGTGCCTGAAGGAAAAGGACCTGGGGGTGCTGGTTGACAGCCAGCTGAACATGAGCCAGCAGTGCGCCCAGGTGGCCAAGAAGGCCAACAGTGTCCTGGCCTGTATCAGAAATAGTGTGGCCAGCAGGAGTAGGGAAGTGATTGTGCCCCTGTACTCCACACTGGTGAGGCCGCAGCTCAAATCCTGTGTTCAGTTTTGGGCCCCTCACTGCAAGAAGGACATTGAGGTGCTGGAGCGTGTCCAGAGAAGGGCAACGAAGCTGGTGAGGGACTGGAGCACAAGTCTTACGAGGAGTGGCTGAGGGAACAGGGGTTGTTCAGTCTGGAGAAGAGGAGGCTGAGGGGAGACCTTATCGCTCTCTACAACTACCTGAAAGGGGTTTGTGGCGAGGTGGGTGTTGGTGTCTTCTCCCAAGTAACTAGTGATAGGACAAGAGGAAATGGCCTCAAGTTGCGCCAGGGGAGGTTTAGATTGGATATGAGGAAAAATTTCTTCACCGAGAGAGTGGTCAAACATTGGAACAGGCTGCCCAGGGAGGTGGTGGAGTCACTATCACTGGAAGTGTTCATAAAACATGTGGACATGGCACTTCAGGACATGGTTTAGTGGGCATGGTGGTGTTGGGTTGATGGTTGGAGTTGACGGTCTTAGAGGTCTTTTCCAACCTTAATGATTCTGTGATTCTGTGAAATACCAAATGAAAATACAGCTTTAAAGAAATACAGCTTCGGTCATTCTGAAAATGACTTAAAAGGATATTTACAGGCAAGATAATGACTTAGGTAGATTTGATATAACCACCACTGTGTTCAGTGGAGAGAAGGAATAGTGCAGCATGTTTGTCTGTTCAGTCCTAGCTGTGGCCAGCCACACCACAGGGTCAGAACCCTGTAGTCTGCAGGTTCCAGTGTGGGCGGGCAAGGAGCTGGGAGGGGAAGGGAGGGATTATTGCAGGATGAGGAAGAGACACACTCGGGGTTTGAAGACGAACAAATAAAGTACAGATGGAGCCATTTTAAGAGTGGGAAAGAAGGAAGGGCTGTAGGAGCCCTTGTAAATTTGTAATAGCACACTGCAGTAATTTTGTGTTAAAGTTGTAGAAAGAATAGGAATCTGAAAATTGCTAGGTAAAAGCGTAATCTGGGAAAATAACTATATGGTTGAGCCCAGATACTGTACAGAAGTAAAATAATTTTGGAATTGAGTGACTGATTTTAATGCTTTAAGGTAGCAACGTAACTATGGATGGATTTCTGGAACTAGATGCAGGAGGACAAACTTTTTAATCTTATTCCTAGGAGGTGGCATGTGTTTGTAGTGTAGGCAAACTCTATTTATCTATCTGTTTATTTATTTATATCTCACTTCTTAGCCTAGACTTCTTATTAACGTTATTAACAGAAAAATGTTCTACACCAGTCTTTCCTGTAACATAATTGAAAAGGACATTTGTCTGTTAGCCTTTAACAAGTATCTGGAAATTATTTTATGGCAGATTGGGAAAATAAGAGAAGTTGACAGTATTGAAACAAATTAGAACGGCATTAAGTGTAGCTGTGAGTCACTGCTGAATAGAAAAACTGTAAATATTCTGACTTCTGGTGTTCAAACTATATATGCTAATCATCTTGCAGTGTGAAAATAGGTATGTAGTGGAGAATTTTTTATAGCTACTGTCTCACCAAATTGTTTGAGAACTGTGTTGTTTTAGTAGCCACTTTGTAATACTAATTAACTTTGTTTTCCTCTTCCTGTATTTAAAGTTTTGTGTGATCCTCTCTCTGTGAAGCAGGACATTCTTTTTACCCTTGATGTTAGTTGATTCACTGAGTTGATTCCGTTTTCCCTATGTTAGAAAGGCACTATGTTACCTGTCATATTTGGAGACATCTTATGCAAGATTCCTTGGCCTGACTCCATGACCAAGTTTTGGTCTGCGTATGAAACCCTGTTGTATGTATCTTACTTTTTTTAGCTGCTAATGCCAGAGAGAGGATTATGGTTTGAAGATGAAACTTAGATTAAAATATTTGCTTTTTCACTCCTGCTTACTTGCTTGCTCTTATTTTTGTGCTTCATATATTTGAACAAGCGCTACGTTGTATTTTATTTCTTTTATGTTTCAGATACGATAATTTATATGTAATGCATAAGTTTTTGGGTCGTGTGATGATTTTATTTTGTAATTCTGTCTCTAAGATAGGCTGTTTTTTTTAAATATAGCTCAATATAGAGTCCACAGAGTATATGGAATACTTCATTCCATTAAAAAAACAAAATGAAGAAAACCCCAAAAAAACCAACCAAAACCAAACCACACTACACATTGTAAAGATTGCTCATGACAATTGTCAAACATCTCAAGATTTTACTATTTTGTATTAAATGCATCTTTGGCTGTGTTTCAGGTATTTAGGACGCAGTTGTTAATGGAAGAATTCATGTATAAGTACAAAATAAGAAGGGCAATCTAGTCTTTGAGGAAATGGCAGGATTCCTAGACAACTTCCGGTGGCCAGAATGTGAGTGTATTGACTGGAGTGAAAGAAGAAATGCCATCGCTTCAATCGTTGCGGGTATATTGGTAAGTTTTGAGAAGACGTGAATCATAACTGTGTTGACAAATTTGGAGGTACAACAAAGTTACATTTTTGTTTCGTATATTGTGAAGGTTTAGTCTTTAACTGCACCCTAATCCAGTATATTTCTTTAACTTTTTTTAAGTGTAATTGTTAGGCAGCTTTTTTACAGGTCACATAACTTTGCATTTTGTCTGATAATGAGGTACCAGTTCTGCTGTCTCTTCTTTAAAAAAGATTAAAATTCCCAGTGGATTTCTGGCATAATTAGATATGTTGAAACACGTATGTTAGACACAGTTTGTCTCTCGTATGTGTTAAGAATAAAAATCCAGATTCTAAAAGGAAATTTTGTCCAGGGATTCTGTACAGGGAATTTAGCTGTACACTGATAGTTAATTTGAGTAGAAAATGTGACCAATTCCCAAATGCTCCTCTGAAAGCATCAATGTTAAGATTTATGCAGAACTTGCATATCAAACAGATTCAGAGTCCAGCTTAAAGCTAATAACTTTCTAGAATAGTTTATACTTGTTAAAAGATGATTAAACCAATGGTATGCATGAATATTTGCCATGTTTTGTCTGCCTGTCTCTGTACCTTTCCAGCCTCATAATACTGGCCTGGTTTATTTCTAGTTTTTCACAGGTTGGTGGATAATGATAGATGCTGCAGTAGTTTACCCTAAGCCAGAACAAATGAACCATGCGTTCCATACCTGTGGGGTGTTTTCAACACTAGCTTTTTTCATGTAAGTGTATATAAAGGGAGTTCTTATAAAATAAACATGAGCTGTTAAACACAGTTTTTACTAGACAATATGGTATGTGATAAAACTTTGAATCACTTGGTTATAAATTACTTATGAGTACTTTTGTCATACCTTTTTGCATGGTGATGTAAAGGCCTTTTTTCTTCTACCTGTGGCCCTTGTTTCTGATTGTAGTCTATTTATTCGTTGTTGTGTCTGTCCCCCCAGTCTGTTCAGGGTAAATTGCTTTTCCTGTGCACTTCAGCTGAATGTAAGAAAGCAGACCTTCCTTTATGCAAGTGTCTTTCTATAAGCTTTTAGATTCCGAGATCAAAATTCATGTAATGCTGTCCAGTTGCTTACCCCAATATAAAACATTTGACTGCAAATTTCCCTGGTTTAAAATAAATATTACAGCCGTCTCTGGCCCAAAACTTCCTCAAATGTGAGAGGTAGTAGTATTATAGCTATCGTTATAAAGATGTAAATGTGGCAAGCTTGAAGAAGTAATAGCTTTTATTGAACCATACAATATTGGCAAGAAAAAAGGATGCATTTGGGTATGCAAGACCTTCTTAACATCTGGTATCTGAAAGCTTCTCTGTGTTTGTGTGGGGGTTTTTTTTGTTTGTTTGTTTGTTTTTTGTTTGGTTTTTTTTGTGTGTGTTTTTTTTGTTTTGTTTTTTTGTTTGTTTTTTGTTTTTTTGTCCCAGCAGTGTAACTCATTTTAAGACAATGTATTGTCCCTCCTTACAGTGTGTCTCTCACTTTAATACTTAGGGTATTCATTGTGAAGGAAAGTAACTTGTATCCTAATCATGAGAGCATTGTGTTACTGGCTGTTACTATTCCTAATTCTTTCATCTTACTGGTCTGATAATGTAAAAATTCAGGTAAGACTTACAAAGAAATACGGGGTTTGCTTGAAATGCAGCTGGAATCCTTCTATTAAGGGACATGTAATAATATGGGACTACACAGAATGCCAGGTCATTTTCTCAGAATTTGTTGCATCTTAAAAAAAGCTAGCTTTTTACTTAAACTTTAAATTGATTTTCTGATAATCTGAAGTGTATACACTTTTTGTTCCTAGGATAAATGCTGTATCAAATGCACAGGTGAGAGGAGACAGCTATAGTGACGGATGTTTAGGAAGAACAGGTAAATCGACTCTAAAAATCATGCTGAGTTGAAAGACTGATTATTGAGGTGTTAGGTTTTTTTCTAAGTGGTGGTTAAATAATCATGAGAAGCTAAGGAGTAGGAGATAACTACCTTCACAGAAGTTTCTTTACAAAATTAACACTTGGCGATAAGTACTGTCTGTTAAAAAGGTGAACTTAGAAAAATTTGACTTCTGTTTATCTTGAATACCTAAACTTTCCTCTGCACATTCTGTATAGCTGCTGGGAGAAATGAATTTCTGCATTGTGGTAGGCCATGGAGCAGATATTCCTTAAGAATATCTTATTTTAGAATCACAAACATTCTGTTTCCTCTGCATGTCACCTACTGTGTGCTGTCTGTGGACCTGTTGTCCTCTCTGCTTTCATTCATAATTCCCTTACTATTTCCCACTACATGGGATCCCAGCATCTGTTTTCATGTGATTTGTAGAGTGCCTCACCAGAAATCTGGTAGGATTTACTGATTTTTTTTTTTTTTAACTAGCATATGATGCTCTTTTTGTGTCATTCATAAATCATCTCAAGAGAATCTTTGCATAGAAATCTTTTTCCTTTGCCATGACTGAGCAGGTTGATTATTTTCAATGGCATCATCTTCCTTTTTCAGCAGGTAATGTCTAGCTATGGTAGACGTTGCCCATCTGAAAATACCTTTCTGAAGTAAACACAGGAAGCATTTGTTTAATGTACCCCATTGGAATGCCATCTTTTCCTCAGAAACACTATAGCTTGGCAAAGTACCTCATCATTAGTCCACTCCAAGTTGTCTTAAATGATGTTATAAGTATTCCCTACAGGTGAGGGGAGATTTCTGGTAGTTGTGTCTGCACACTGAGATATGGGAAATCCGGCTACTATGTGTTTTACTAGAGAAGGCAAATTTTGGTTTATCTTGTCCTTGATACAGGGTTTAACCCTTTCTCTTTGTGCCTTCAGCATGATAACATATTGTATCATAATAGAGTAGTAACTTGGATCATCTGTCACAATGGATAATAGTCTACATGGTTTTCAGAGGTTTTAATATTTCCTGCAGGTGCTCGTGTCTGGCTCTTCATTGGCTTTATGTTGATGTTTGGTTCACTTATTGCTTCAATGTGGATACTTTTTGGAGCATATGTTACACAGAGTAAGTTTCTTTATTTTCACATATAGAAAAGTACTTTTGCTGTCAGCCAAAAGGCAGAAAATCCAGAAGAATGGAAGTGTGTGGTCTGTTCTTGTCAGAGCCATATCATCTAGTTTTGTAGTCAGAGAATGATACTGTGAATAGTGTTTTAAATATACCTTCCAATACAGAAGAACTTAATATTTCCTGTGTTACTTACTTTGCAGACACTAATGTTTACCCTGGATTAGCAGTGTTTTTCCAAAATGCGTTGATATTTTTCAGGTAAGTTATCAGGGTAAATTTCCCTCCTTCCAAAGCAGTATATGACTTACCTGCTTCCATGCACCTTGGTACTCATGGAAAATAAGCTCTGAAAGCTGGAGGCTGACTCCAGGCTTGACCTTCCAAAATGTGGAGTTTTCTGCTCTCAGTGAAGAACCCCTCCATATGTCAATTCATTACCCACCCTGACCTTTACTTGAGGAGTGTGGCATGTAAGCCAAAGGGACATCTTGGGTCACTGGGTAAAGTGACATTGTACAGAGAGATGATGTGATATTGTTCATTGCATAAACTGATCCGATTTCTTAAAAACTATTTTTTTTAATCTGCTATTTTTTTCTACTTCCTTTGCTCCAGCACTTAGAAACAATGTTTTATTTGCCCCTTCTCAGCCCATGAGATGTTCTTCATTCCCCTCATGTTCCTGTTAGTCTAGCTCTTTCTGGTCTCACTGAATCTACAGCTCTAGAGTGTGGATGACCAAGGATATAGACAGTATTCTGGGTGAGATATTGTCAGTGTCTTTTGATAATGGCAATAATGCTTTCCTCTCTGTACTACAAATACCTTGGCATATATCCTAACAGCACTAGGAGGGTGAGGTCTGATTGCCTTTTTCCTGATTATTTCATACCCGTGGCTCAATTAGGTGATAACTGATACACCTAGATTTGTTTCTACTGGATGAGCTTTCTGTTAAGAGTAGTGGTAACTTTTTTTTCTAAGAGCATGATGGTACATTTTGTAACATTATACTTAAATCAATTTCTTTTACTTTGCTTAATATCATGGAGTATATAATATAATACTTCGAAACTATGTGTCTGTAATGACTCCTTTTATATGAATTTTATTAATTAATAAAAGACAATGAAATAATTAAATAATGTAAGTTCTGAGATCAGTTACTGAAAATGTTCACATAACCTCCTCATTTCCAAGTTCTTACCCACTTTAATTACCACGCTAACAATTTTCCATCTAGTACCCTATCAAATGCTTTGCAGCGAGCTAGACAGACTGGCACCACTGCGCTTCCCTGTTTGGAAAATCAGTATGTTCTTGCAGAAAATAGCAGTTCCTAAATCTCTTCTGTAGTCTTGCACATGATTGAAACGGGATACTGATGAAAGCAGTCTTTTGAGAATAGTTTCACCATGCCTGAAATCTTTGGTCATATTTCAGTAGTTTGATGAACTTATTTCTGAAGCTGCTCTTTTTTTCTGAAAGTGTCTTTTCTTAGTTTCTGTTGTACTCTGTATGTAGATACATTTTAGGTTTATTTGTTTTCTTCTGTCATCTAAAATTTGTTTTCTAGGTATGAACTATGAGACAAATTACGACCTTTTTATTTTTTTAAAAAAAAGTCTTTGTTTTTTATCCTGCCACGCATTTCAGGCAGTAACATCGATAAATCCATCCATTGCTGTAGACTCCTTTCTCAGACCAGAACTGGGTCAATCAGCGATGACCTTCTCAGTGTCCTTAGCCAAAACTTTTGTTCCAATTCAATCAGATTCTCTTCCATCAGTGTTGTTCCATAGTGTCTGTATTCCCCAAACCATGTGTCTTGGACCAGGACTTGCATTTCAGCCCTGGTTGTTACCCCACCAGTGTTTTTGCTTAGTTTAATGTGCTGTATTAGTAGCTCTCTTCTCTAGTTAATTGCCCAGGTGTCTAGCTTGTTTTACCTATCGCTTGTTGTTCTTAGTGTCAGCATTTCTCATTTCCTTCTCTCTTCATTCTCTTATGATTTAGTATGACTGTGCCCTTCTTTACCACCCATTTGTTGGCTATAAGAAAAAAATAATTTAAAGTGAAGGAAATCATGCTTGATTTTGTTCCCTCAATGTTTATTTTTCTGATTCATGACAATATGTAATTGCATCCAACCTTATAAAAGGAATTTTGGAATTCAACTTGCAATTTGGATCTCACTTATCCACCACAGAATCAACATTCTTTCTGATTTGCTTGTAAAAAAATTTAATTGCTTAGATTCTATCCTAGCCTGGTGCATTATGTTCAGCTGATTGCCAGATGCCAGGATGAGACTTGCTGCTCTGTAACTCTGTGGGTCTGTCCTACAATCTCTTAAATACCAAACTTTTTTTTTCCTTCAGAAGGGCAGCTGCTTTTACTGTGAGACTGGCTATTTTTTTATTTGCACGGTTGCTTTAGCTGGTTCTCATAGTTTTAGCAACGCATAGTAAATGAAACAGAAGTACAAAAACCAAATAGTGACTTGAATAAAAGTTAAGGTTACTGGAGGGATATTATTTGCAGTGTAGACAATGTAAGATTATAAGGACACTATTAAAATTACCTTTTCCACCTTATGTATGGTCTGATTTTTTTTTTTCTTATTTTTTCCCTTTAGTACTCTGATCTACAAGTTTGGAAGAACAGAAGAGTTATGGGGATGAGAGATCACGTGTAGCATTGTCTATTCCATAGTTGCTATGTCGTACTATGTATGTAGATATATTTACATTTATTTGTTCTTGTTTTGCTTTCTAAATTGTGTGAACTGAGACAGATTACAGTTTCTGTAATAAGCTCCCTCTTTTCACAGGACAGATTTGTGAATATGTACATATGACTGTATATATCTTTAAAAAGGGAATGTCAAGCTTTCTTTCTGAAATCTTCAGGCTTATTTCTTCAAATACATGGGTTTCCATCAACTCCTAAGACTTGATCTTCCAAACTTTCACATGTGTCGGAGACTTCAGTGGAACTATTAGGGAACAAGCAGGATAACCACTTTTACAGGGTACGGGCTTTATTACTTTGATGCCTAGGTGAGCTAGAGCCGATTTTGCCGGGGCTGCCAGCAAGGGCTGTGTGTAACCTGACGGAGTGGTCAGCGTACGGAGGTGACCCGGCTAAGCCTGTGTTTAATGAGGGTAAATTCTATTCTATGCTGAGATAAGAGCTGATTTTAAGAATTTTTTACAACTGTTCAGAAAAATATAAAGTAGCTATTATTTTTTTGTAAAAGGTTACGGGTTTTTAAACAAGGCCCTACGTTAAGTAGTTTCTGCATGGTAAAGCAACCTGTTCTTGAATTCTGATTGCTATAGCACAAATGACATTTGGTAGCACCACAGTCCTCTGAGTTAGTTTCATGCTGTTCAGTTTAATAGATACCAATTAGTATTTAATGCATTTACTGATATTAGAATAAAAAAAACAACCCTGATGCCAGTCATACTTAAGGAATATAAAGAAAAAATGAGAGTCAGACTAACATCTTTAAAATTATGCTAGTGTAACTTTCTTCAGGGGAACCTTTTTGCGCTGCTAAATGAACAGTTATCCTGCTACCTACTACCTTTTCTATTTAAAAGACAAAGCATTTCAAGTGGGGATATAATAGAAGTATTTATTGCTATCAACCTTACCTTGAAATAATTGTCAGGTTTAAGACTGCTGTTTGCCCCAGTTAAAATGTATTTATCTATCTCCTAAAATTCATGGGCACTTTATGGGAATGCTTCCATTATTAAAATCCAGTTTCTTCTGGTGGAGTATACAGAAAAGGAGAACAATGATGTTTTATAGCTTTGGACTGATCTTGTGTATTCATCTTGCTGTTGGTGACCTCCTTACCTTATAAATTCTATGTGTTTTTAAAGCGTTTGAAACTACCTTGTGTCTAAGAGCTTTTATAACTTTCCATGTATCATCAAGATCACTGACCAAATGGTATTAAACTGCAGAATGTAACTTCTGTGCATGGTTCCTGCGTACTGTTAGTCATCTAATGGCTCCCTTGTGGGAATCTCTCCAGTGGACAGAATATGAAGCAAATACTGCAGCTGAAATTGTGCTACTGGCTAGACTAACTTCATCCTGATGTCACCATCCCGTAGAGACTTGTGATACATTCACTGGTGTTAATCATAGCTTTGTACTTCAGTTGTCTGGTTGCGATTTCAGAAAATGGCAATAAACTTTATCTTACCTTCTCAAAATTGCGAACTTCACAAGGTAATTGTACAGTAGTACTCTACTTTGTAGCTCAAGTAGTACTGACCTTTAAGCAAGTCTTATACCAGGTAGTAAGTAAAACCAAGGTTTTTGTTTTCAGGTCTGTCAGGCTGTTGCTTAGAAGCTTGGGGCTATTTGTTGGCTTTTTCACTGAGAAACAAGAGTGGCCTACAACTAATCACACATACAGCATCTTGCACCTGACACTTGAAGAACAAAGCTAAGTGTTTGGAAGAACTCTTCCAGTGTGCTTTAATGCAAGTTCCCTGTTTTAAAAAAAAAAAGCTCTTGCCCTGCTGTTAAGATAACTTCTTTCTGAGGTTACCTGTACTTTCTACCAGAAGTTTGCTTTCTTGCAAGTATTTCCTGGCCATCCCTTCTGATTTTAGAGAACTGGGATGGTCATGCTCTCTATACAGCTGCAAAGAGGAGAAGAGAGACAGCTTTGAGGATGTGTCTTTTCTGGTATCCTAAGCTGAAAATGGGCATATCCCAAGGCCTGCTTTTATGCTGCAGGCAGTTCCAGCACAGGTGGCTAGGGAGAGCTTGTTTTAGGTAAGGCCTTGGCCTGCTACCAGTGGCAGCTGTGAAGATAACCCTTGAATTACTCTTAAGAAAAGGTTTCTTTGGCCTATTTGCATAACTGTAAGAAATACCTAGTAACAACTATCTCTAACAGAAGTCTAGCACAGGGCTTATTTAGAAAAGTGTAAGCTGTAATGTGGAATACTCACAGGAGCTACTTTAAACACCTCATCCATGTCCTCTGTTATGCATCTAGGTGGTTCCTTTTGGTTCTTCATTTGTTGACAGCACAGTGTATATATAAAGAACACAGATGAACCCAAAAGCAGATATTACGCAGCTTGTGGCTGACTTGAAAATTCTTACCAGATTTGAAGTATGACTAAGTCTTCAGGGAACTACACTGTCTTGGCATATTGCTTAATCAGAAGCGATTAGATTAGTTCTTTGAGGAAACAACCTCATGAAGCTTTTGGGAAAAATGTTACTAATTTTTCATCTTAGTCTTGTGGATTCCTGAAAGGGGTGGAACAGCATTACCTCAAATAACCCCCAGCTGTCACAGTGACCAGGTTCATTAACAGACCTAAGTAACTCAAGTCATTTGCAAATAAACAAGCATATTTTTCTTAAACAACTTGTATCAAACCCAGGAAACGTGGTTTATTCGTTCTTTGTGCTTTATTAAGACACCTTCTAGACCCCACAGGCTGGTGATGTGAGATTTAAGCAGAAGACAACAATTTAAGGGACTCAAAACACAACCCTCAGTCAACTTTTAGCCATTTGCAGGACTAATCTGATAGCCAGCAAGAGATTTTAGTGTCTGATAACTACTGATATAGGATATATAAATTCTGAGCAAAATTACTTTAAAGAAAGAAGTTTGTTTTGCTATGAAGAATGATTGTTTTGCTGCAGGAGCAGAAGATTAATGCTTCTCATGAATGTGGCAGGAGGCACAGGTTCATGCTGAGGAGAGTAAAGTACTATAAAATTTCTTTTTAGACTGCCATTTTTATCTGGAGGGAAGAAGCTGCCACAGAAGACTGCATGTGCTTAAAATGATTCAGAAAAGCATGCCGGGCTGGGTCTAATAGACCTTGAGTGCTAACATAGACTTCACAGATAAGGCAACAAAACAAAAACCACTATAAAAGCAATTCATGGTGCAATTACTCACTCACTGGAAAAATTCTAGGTTGTACTACATCCTACCATAAAGTGCCTTTATAGCTCAAAACTTAATTTCAAACTGGAATCTTCACTATGACATTTGTTAATATAAGCATTTTATAACCACCTGTCTGTCTTCAGGCAATTATTTAGTGTTCATTCCCCTTTCACATTCCACCTGTGAGGTCTCTTTGGCAGAACAGAGTCCCTGCTGCAGCACAGCAGAAGCCACTTAAACAAAGGCTCAAGGTCCACACTATTCCTCAGGGAGCAACATCTCACTCGGGCTTTGTAGGCAGCCGCATTTTGTCCAGAGCTCTTTGTCTGTCCTGCCAGTAGCCACACATGCTGCCCCTGGGCAGGAGGCTCTGCAAAGACTTGGTACAGGCATCCTCACTAGGGTGCCGCTTAAGTTACTTCACTGTCGCTGGAAATGCTGTGTGAATGAGCTTGGCCATCCAAACTGCTGCCACAGGCTTGGCTTCCTTCTCCACAAAATACCACGGATGAGGAATCACGGGGATCCTCCTCGGCGTAATTGTCGAACAGCTCTAAGACAGGCATGCTAGGGTCCTTCAAATACTGGAGAAAGCCAGAAACAACAGTTTAGACATCTATCCACAGATGCATTGGAAGTTACAGAGACAGGGCAGGTACCACCATCTACGGGCACAGCAAGTTGCTTCAGAGCAGAATTCACAGCAAGAGCTGCTAAATGTATATTCTATTCTGGATTTCCTTGAAACTACATTGAACAAGGAGAAAATTAAAAATACCTTATTTCTGTGGGGGGAAAAAAAAATTACAAAAATCAATCATGCAAACCTCCATTTAAGTAGGTTAAAGCAGCCTGAATTTCCTTTTTTTTTTTAAACAAATTTTCACAGAATCACAGAATCATGAAGGTTGGAAAAGACCTTTAGGATCATCAAGTCCAACCACCAACCCAACACCACCATACCCACTAAACTATGTCCTGAAGTGCCACGTCTACATGTTTTTTGAACACTTCCAGCAACGGTGACTCCACCACCTCCCTGGGCAGCTTGTTCCCATGCTTGACCACTCTTTCAGTAAAGAAAATTTTCCTAATACCCAGTCTAAACCTCCCCTGGTGCAATTTGAGGCCATTTCCTCTTTTCATGTCAGTTCATGCAAATTCCTACCAGTTAAGAACAAATCACAGAAGAACACACTTCTTTATTACAGTATTGGGGACATAACCTCCAACTGCAGGACTCTAGCAACTGACAGATTGTCTAAAGCACTGATGGAGAAAATGAGATCTAAGATTCTGGTTTGTTCAGTGTCAGGCAAGTCCAATTGCCCCTTTATTGTTACGAGAAAACTCTAGTGGCATTCTTCTCTGACTTCCCCTCTGCTCTCCCTTCCTCCAAAATCATGCATTCATTGTAAAGCTGATTGACAACTTAATCAAAGAAAGGAGCATTAGAAGAAAAACACAGGCCAGAGAAAATGCTTTCTGTTCCTCCTGCCACTCCCAGATACTCTCCTTATCATTAAGCTGATGTTGTGTTTCGCAGGGAATTGGAGCCATTTACCACTTCACGTACTGAACAAAAAAATCCAAAACCTGCCACTGAACACACTTTCCCTGATTTAAAAAATGGTTAAAATAAATGTCTGGAACACAGACACCTTCACATTGTTAAAAGACTGATGTAGCTTGTAGTTTTACCCGAAAGCTTGTTCTGTACTGTAGGAGGTGCCAGGAGCTGGCTGAGACAGGACCACAGCTCAAGTCACATCTATCATGGGACAAAATGAACCTTAGTTTCAATTAAGGCACCACTTCCTCTGTAATCACAGCAAGGCCAACGAGCAACAGGATTATTTTTTCAGGTGTATTAAAAACAAATGTTTCATATGGGAACCTCAAATACATCCACTTTAGCAAATTCAAGACATAAATGAGCCTTGGTTTGGATTTGCTATGTGAAGGTGTTTCTGCAGTAAAACTGCTCCCTGTAACTCAAATGCTGGAAGCAGAGATTCTTCTGCAAAGCAGGGAAATCTGTGATTTT